ATAATAAACATTACTACAGGTCATCTTATTCAGCATATATATATATATATATATAACATATAAACATATTAAATCTTCCCCCAATCAATCCCGTCCTCATCCAATATCTTCACTCCAAATAGCAAACAAAGAATGTTCTTTTCTAACAACAACCCATGTGATAATTTCGTTTTTCCCCCATTCACAAGGAAAAAACTAATTCCCCTGTCAGAAAATAACTGGTATTTGATGTATTATATTAAATTTATTTCTTCTTTTTTTCAACAGCTACAACAATTACATTTTTAAGGTTTTAAATTACAAATATAAAGGTATAGCATTCAAAAATATTTTTTATTAAGCACATAAATACTATTTTTCAGATATTATGAAATTAATATTAAATAAAAAGTATATTCACATATATGAGTAATCTATAAATAATGAATTAGGGCCTAAAATACTAATTTGTCTATACATTATAAATATGAGTATATCCATTATAATATAAATAAAAATATACCTATACTATTAAGTCTTTTCTATAAATATGAAAAAAAATTCCAGGGGTTTTTTGCCTGATGGTTTATTTTCCGGGAGTTTTTTTTCTAGGGGTTTTTTTTCGTGGGGTTTTTTCCCCAGTTTTTTCCGGGGGTTTTTTTCCTGGATGCGTATAAATCTTATTGAATAAAATGTTTTTTAATCCGATATTTGATTTAATTTTTGTATTTAATGTTTCCCAAACATTATTCCCAACGTAAGTAGTTAAGAATTTTTTTAAATTATCATATCATTGGAATAAGGATTTTTATCTAATTATTAAGAATTCGATCTAGAAAGATCTTATTAAATGATAAAATTTGTAATTTAATCATTATTTATTTCAAAGTTTATATTAGTGGACTCTAAAAAATGTACTTTTTAAAAACTGATGAAATTTTACATATTACATTTGAAATTATTTTTAATTGTCCTTAAGGTCCGTTATATTTTATAAAGATTTTAATAATAAATTTGAAATTATATAAATTAATAGTCCGAAATTTCTATATTACTAAATTTAGGGCTTCTTTTAATAATATTTTTTGAAGATAATTTTTTTATCATCTGACTCTCATAAGTTCTCAAAGTATGAATTTAGACGCCCCAAATGCATTATTATAATTATAATAATTAGAAAAATATTTCCCATACTAGAGGGCAATGGGTGGTGGCGGGCCGCTTAAGGAATATTTTTATAATAATTGGAGGGAGATGGGAGGGTGAATTCTGAATATTTTTAACAGGGTTGTGCATTTGACCGGTCAAATACGTTTCGGTCAATTAACCAATATTTGACCGGTCAAATGTGGTCAAATTCAAATATATGTTTTTTTAAGTTAATATTAACTTTATTTTGAATAAAATAGTAAAATGAATCTATAATATTAATTTTTAAATTCATTATCATTCAAAACTAACGTGTAGCTATCTGTAGCAGAGTCTTGTTCTTCTGATTTATATTCAATATTATCATTTTCTTTAATATTTTTTAATCAATTTTCCTGATGTCTTAGATCTTCAATTCATTTCTATTTTCATAAGAATTAATCGACCTATTTCTTTCTAAAGAAGTAGAACAAGGATTTGTTAGTCTCTTAATGGGCAGGGTGGGCAAAGTTTAATCTATTAACTTGAGGTTGGAATTGATTGTTTCTGGAAATTACTACTTTCCACATAATTTGCTATATTAAACATGCTGGTTTTGCTTCTGAAATAATTTATATCACTTAAAATATTTTGGTCATCAATACCTTGTAAAATAGCTAATTATATCACATACTTCATTAATTTCACTACTAGTGCGTTCTCCTCTTGATATTGTGGACCTAAAAAATAAGCAAACATTGTGATCACATGTATTTACATCGTTTTTCCCTTTTTTAATTTTTTAGGCTATTTGACCAGGTCAAATACTCCTCTGGTCAATTGACCTACTTGCCAACCCTGTTTTAATGAGCAGAACAACTTCTACATATAAAAATCTATAATATTGCATATTTTATAAGTATAATTATAAATATATAAAAATAAATAAAAAGCCAAACTAGCCATTAAAATAATTTAAAAGTTAGGCTGGAGGGTGGGTTAAGCAAAATTTTTGATTGGGCGTGCGGCAAATTTAAAAAATAAAGTCTACGCGGACAGGTTAAAAAAAATTTAAAACGAGTGTCAGGGCTTGTTGTTAGTGTTGTTAAACTACTCAATTTGAGCTGATTTTTTTAAAACGGGCTAATTCAATATTTTATCCAGAAAAATATTATGCAAGTCTAAAGATTTTGCTCATAGATGGCACATGGAATGGAACATCTATTGGCGAAATCTCGACGCTTAGGCAATATTTTCCTGGCTATAATGTTGAGTTAGCCCTTTTTAAAAATCGGCTTAAATAGAGCCGTTTAACAACACTACTTGTTGTCAAAAATACGGCCATAGTAGACCTCTAGCCCACACCATCTCGGCAGATATTAATAAAGGTAGACAATATTATAATGAAGCTGATATGCTAGTTTGGATTATTTTTTGTGCTAGCTTCTCTACTACTTTAGATATAATTGATATTTGTTGAAAACGCCTAAATGACATTCAATTATTAATAGTTGATTAAAACTAATCATAATCAAGCCTATGCAAATATAGTGGAAACAGACATGATTCTCTTTATATTTGATCTAAACATAACTTATATATTTATAATAATATGATACAAAGATTTATTAATTTAAATAAATGGAAACAATCAGAACAAAATTATACATAACATTAAATATCTCTATCATTATAAATATAAATATTTTAATTAATTTACCATGTTCAATAAAATTTATATACGAGTTTGTACAGCCTCATATCGACTTTTTGCTTGTATAGATTGGCATTCAGCCGTTACTTTATATTTTTCTAATTTAATGATTTCAAAAATTTCCATCTAAAATTTTAAGCCTTGTGTTTAATTCAGGGAAACTTCATTCCATAATTTTCATTTCACTTAATTTGAATAAAAATCTTCAATTTTTTAAAAATTTCTTGTAATAAAATTTTTTTTATTGAAAATTTGTGACTTCATTATGAAAGATTTTTTATGCAAAATTGATTGAAAAATTTATGATTTTTTTTAGTTACAAATAAAAAAATATAAAATTTATTTAATTGTTGGAATTTATTAGTGAAGATAAAAATATTTAATAAGAAATTAGTGAGAAAGAAATTTGGGTATAACAAGGTTAAGGTTAGTGATAAAAACAGTTTTGAGAATATTAAAGCGCAAATTGAATACTACTTTATTGCCAAGTTTCAGAACATGATCTTTTTTATTTTCGGTTTTGGCAAAGTGCCAACACTTTCTTATTTTGCTTATAACTTACAAGCGGTCTGCTGATGTCCGGGTATGCAATTAAAAATCTAAATAATGGCATAGCTTTTATTAATTGCACCTCAAGTCGTTCTGCCAGCTTAAAAATTTCACACTTTACTTATTTTCTGCTGATGTCCGGATAGAAGTGCAATTAAGACTCTGAATAATGGTATAACTTTTGTTCACCTCAAGTCGTTTACCAACTTCTGGACTTTGCGTTTAAATTTTGTGAATTTCATGTTGGCAATAAAAAACCTAGAAAATTATTACAAACTAAAATTTAGATATCGTTATTTGTCAGTTTAAAAAATGGAACATAAAAACATTTTACCTTATTTTTTACTTAAATATATTTTTGCACAAATAATTTAATAGATTTATATCTTCGGGAAATGCATACCTTAGAAGCTAATATTATAATGGATTATAGTTAAGGATGAGTTACTAGAATATATTTTTCTATGAATTAAAATTTTTAATAATTTTAAAATTTAAAAGGTTATAAATTTTACAAATAAAGTTCAAAGATTTTTGTTTGCAATTTTAGAAAGATATGGCGAGACAGCCCATACCCTTATTTAACTTATAAATTATAAAGCAAGAATAATATAATGACAATGTTGGTGTACCAAAAATCAATTGGTGATTAATAAGTTAAAAGAATTTATAGGCTTATATTTCCATTCAGTTAAATTAATATAATGTATGACAAGTAACTTATTAAAAATGTGGAAAAGATACTGAGTACAAAAAACAAACGCATCGTTATCTTAGATACAAGTATTCCCGGTATTACCAAACTCTGGGTATATATATATACATAAGCCTCGAAATATAATACTTTAAATTAGATGCTAAATCGAAGCGATGAAAAATTAAATTAAACAAAATCATGTTTGAAGATTTTATGTATGAGGAAAAAAATTTTGAAGTCAATTATTTTTGATGTTCTCAGAAACCGAGACAAATGACATATATTAATGTTCCATGATGTCAGCAAAATATTCAAAAACCGGGATATCTGATAAGTTTAACCTATCTCTACATGACAAACCAACTTCCATTTTTTAAATATTAAGAGAATTTTTATTCTTTTTTTTAAAACTACCGTATATTATAAAATTATTTTATCATTTCCTAATCAGATCTATATGATGAACCCATTTCTCTTTATGGTTAAGATATTGGCATTTAATTCTAAACATTTTGTTGATGTTTTATGGATTTCAGCAATTTAATATTTTTTTAAAATATATAGTTCTATTCAAGCTTTTTTTATAATACCACTTTCAGAAATATAACACTGATGGTATGTTCCTTTCTGGTTGTTATAAATCTGGTACAAATACCATACTCAGTCTATCGAACTCACAAATATATATATCTCAGTAAAGTCAAAAATAATGATATTTAATGACCTAATAAAATTTTAATTTACAATTTTTATAAAAACAATAATTCATATAATTTATTAATATATTATGGACAAAAAAAATATGATTTATATAAATTTACTGAATAAATAAAAAAAATCTATATGAAAGGCTAGTCAAAATAATTATATCGAGTACCTGGCATGTAAATGCAAACAAAAATAGTTATAAGCACAAGTCAATCTTTTATAAATATGTGTATGAGTATAAGAAATTAATAAATGTCGCTGAGACTGATTTTTATACATAATTGAGTTTTTAAATGTTAGAAATATACATATAATATAAATTGTTATCGGATTATTTATACAATTATAATATAAATGGAAGCTTTCACAAAATAGTATTTAAAAAACAGATAAATTTGCATGATAAAGATACAATTTTGTATTTTGATTAAAAATTGTTGTTATAAGCAAAATATCATACCTGTACACAAATATACAGTAAGTTATTAATGACAGAATAAAAACATAGTGTGGGTAGTTTATAAATTTTTAATGTCTAGTTCAGAAGGAACAAGTGTCAACTGTGTTTCAACTCTGCCGACTTGTTTGGGTGGCACTTTAATCGTATCTAGAGTGCCAGTCTCGAGCTCGTAGACCCCGTCATTGTCATGTTCGGTATTCAGTCTCTTAAGATGAGCTAACATTTTTATCTTTTCTTTACGACTGCCGCTATTACCATTATTATTCGTGTCAGAGCTGGGGTAGTCCCGCCTTTTAATGGAGTCGTCAAATAATAACATGGATGTCATGTCCCGCTCCGAACTGTGTCGAATGCCATATAGAAAGTATATGAGGAGGCCTGCAGTCATCCACACCGCAAATCGAATCCAAGTGTTGACACCCAGTTTCATCATGAGGTAAAGGTTTATGAAAATGCTCAAGAAAGGCAGTAAAGGGACCAAAGGAACCTAATGTAATAAATAAAAAAATGTGTATAATGCTACCCTGCACACAGATATCATATTATTTAAGGCCCTTTTCTCAAACTTTATTTTAAACACAGTGCTTACTGTTCACAAAGGAAATTCTTGATAAAAGTAAAAAAAATAAAATTTCCTCATCATTTTTTATTAATTTATTGAATTATTTTAAAAAAATCTAGTTGTAAAAATATTTTTGAAATGTATAATACTTAAAATATTTTTATAAAAATGTAGAGTTATATGCTCTAAACTATATTTTTGGTCGACAAAATAAAGTGCATTAAACTAGTAGCTTTAGTTACTTAAATTGTTTTATATTTTATGGGGAATATTTAAATGATTAGTTTTCAAAAATAACATAGAAAAAAATAACCTACCGTGGGTAGGGGAGACCGGGGTAAAATGATGGGGTAACAATGTGACAAGAATAACTTTTTAAATGTTGTTAAGTATAAAGACCTTAAATTTGGTGTGAAGATGTATTTTTAAACCTCTGTTTATCTTTTGAAAAACTTTCCTGGTTTAAAACTGTTTAACTCAAAATTTATAAAAATCACCTTCTAGTTCATTTAGCTATTAGCTAAATATATATATAGGCTCATAATTATAATTATGCATACGTGTTCCTTAAAGTCATAGAAATAAAATTTATAGGAAGTAGCTCAACTGGAAGTCACGCAATAATGATCTGTATAATAGATCACCTTAAAATTGGTATGGGTAACAAGGTTAAGATATTCCGCCTGATTAAAGCTGTAAAAAGAGAATTTTTAAATATTAACGTCTACACCATATAAAAAATGTTTTTAGCAAAAAAAAACATTACTAAATAGTAGGCCTATTCAAAAAAATTCGAATATACGATTCGATTAGAAACGAATACGAATAATAAATTATTTGTTTTATCCGAATACGAATAATCATTTATTCGATTCGAATAAAACGAATTATTCGTAATATTTAATAAATTGCTTTTTTAAAAAATAAATCTAACATTTGTCATTTCTATTTGATAACCTGCCAATCTGACAGGTGATGTGTTTATAAAAAGACTAGCAAACATTTTAATTTTCCGTATTTTTTCAAAATTAATTATATTAAAAATTACACAAACCAAAAGTATATAAAAATATATACAAACCAAAGGTATATAAAAATATATTATATCTTTATAATAAAATATTGTTAGCTAGTCTAATTATGTTAGAGGAGAATGATTCTGATGTAGTTATGGTTGATGTTGAAAAAATTTCTTCACAAAAAAAAGCGATTATATGGGATCAATATCAACTCAATGGTGAAAAGTCTGCTTGCAATCATTGCAAGAGCATTATTAAATGCAAAGGCAAAACAACATCACCTCTTATTAATCATTATAATAGGTTTCATTCACATCTCTGTAAAAACAGTAATAAAATTGACACTTTTTTAAAGCCTATATCACCTTTTTCTTTATCTAAAAAATAATTATAAAGATAACTTACTAAAATTATTTATTAATAATAATTTATCTTTTAAAATTATTAATTCACTGATTTTAAAAATTTTATAAATGATCTTGATTCTTCTATAAAATCAATATGTTCCAATACTCTTAAATTGCATATGTATAATACATTTGCAGAAAAAGAACAGTAGGTAAAGGATATAATATCCAAAAATAAAAGTCAGATTAATTTTTCATCTGATATTTGGACTAGCCCAACTCAGGTTCCTTTTTTAGGGTTAACAGCCCATTTTATTGATGATAATTTTAAAATAAATAACATAATTTTGGATGTTGCTCCAATAAATGAACAACGTTCAGGTGAAAACATATTTAAAGCCTTTATTAAAATAATTAAAAATTATAATTTGGAGAATAAAAATTTTTATATAACTCTAGATAATGCTACTAATAATAAAACATTTATTGATACATTTTCTTTAAAATATCCATCAATAAAAATAGGGCACATTCGATGCTTTGCTCATGTTATTAATTTAATATCCAAAGAAATTTTAAAAATTTTAAATCCATCAATTTTAAAACTACGAAACATTATTAGGATGATACGTAATTCTCCTAAAAAATTAAATTTATTAAAAAATATATGTAGTTCACTACATCCTCCTATACATTTTTTAAAACCCAAATTGGATTGTGAAATAAGGTGGAATAGCACCAACCAAATGATTGAAAGGGGCTTATTGTTAAAGCTTGCTATAAAAAATTAGTTAATGAAGTTATAACTAATATTATAATTCTTCAAGAAAAACAATTATCAGAGGTAAACTAAAATTTATAAATAGGTAAATAATACTTTATTAACATAACATACAGGAGGAATGGGACGATCTTGTAAAAATTAAATCTATCCTATTGCCTTTGTATGAGACTACAAATATGGTTTGTGGGGAAAATTATCCTACTTATAATTTGGTTATACCCTATTATATTCTAATTCTTGAACACTTAAAAAATGAGAAACCTTGTTTCCATAAAACCTCTAACAATGATTTCGAAGTGGCATGTGATAAATTGTTGGGCTATTATAATTTAACTGCAGATGATGCAATAATAGCTACAATATTGGATCCCAGGCTCAAAATAATATTTTAAATCAATATCTCTTGATCAAGAGATTATGATATTGATATATCCAGGTTAACAGACAAGTTTAAAGAGATTTACAGCAGATATACAGGTATTTAATTTACCCCCATTTAAATACATATCATTTTATTTTATAAGCTGCTGATGCTGATAATTACAACTGCCAAAATAAGGATGAAAGTCAACAAAACAGGCTTGACATTGTTTTTAAACAAAATTATGTGAAATCAATTTTTACCTGAGTGAACCAAGATCAAAGAGTGATACTGATCCATTAATGTGGTGGAAGATAAATGCACATAGGATCCCCATACTCTCAAAAATGGCAAGAGATTATTTATCTATACAAGGAACATCAACTGCGTGTGAAAGACTTTTCTCAGTTGGCACTAATTTGTTGTCAAAAAACCGCATGTCGTATAAAGAAGAAAATATAATAAAAACCCTGCCTTAAAAATTGGCTTAAAATTATAAATTAAATGAATAATATAATATTTTAATTTTGTTTATAACTTGATTATATTTATTTGTCATCGGATTATTATAATTTTTTCTGTTTGAAATCAAATTTGCAATAAAAAAATTTGTCAATATATTTGAGTATGATTTATTTTATTAAGAAAATTCATTTCAATTATTCGAAAATTATTCGAATCGAATACAAATAGTAGATTATATTATTCGTACGAATTCAAATAGTAAATTATTCGATTTGTTTAGACGAATCGAATACTAATAAAAAATTTTATTCTACAAATTATAATTTTTAATCATTTTAATAAAGGCTTTAAATATGTTTTCACCTGAACGTTGTTCATTTATTAGAGCAACATCCAAAATTATGTTATTTATTTTAAAATTATCATCAATAAAATGGGCTGTTAACCCTAAAAAAGGAACCTGAGTTGGGCTAGTCCAAATCTCAGATGAAAAATTAATCTGACTTTTATTTTTGGATATAAATCCTTTACCAACTGTTCTTTTTCTGCAAATGTATTATACATATGCAATTTAAGAGTATTGAGCATATTGATTTTATAGAAGAATCAAGATCATTTATAAAATTTTTAAAATCAGTGAATTAATAATTTTAAAAGATAAATTATTATTAATAAATAATTTTAGTAAGTTATCTTTATAATTATTTTTTAGATAAAGAAAAAGGTGATATAGGCTTTAAAAAAGTGTCAATTTTATTACTGTTTTTACAGAGATGTGAATGAAACCTATTATAATGATTAATAAGAGGTAATGTTGTTTTGCCTTTGCATTTAATAATGCTCTTGCAATGATTGCAAGCAGCCTTTTCACCAATGAGTTTATATTGATCCCATATAATCGCTCTTTTTTGTGAAGAAATTTTGTCAACATCAACCATAACTATTTCATCAGAATCATTCTCCTCTAACATAATTAGGCTAGCTAACAATATTTTATTATAAAGATATAATATATTTTTATATACCTTTGGTTTGTATATATTTTTATATACTTTTGGTTTGTGTAATTTTTAATATAATTAATTTTGAAAAAATACAGAAAATTAAAATTTTTGCTGGTCTTTTTATAAACACATCACCTGTCAGATTGGCAGGTTATCAAATAGAAATGACAAATGTTAGATTTATTTTTTTAAAAAAATTTATTAAATATTAAGAATAATTCGTTTTATTCGAATAATTCATACCCTAGGCATGTTTGGCGAGGCCCTCAATTTCATCAAAATCATAGGAAAAAAAATGAGACAGATCTCAGGGGACCCCAATGAAGGATTTTACCTAATTTTTTAAGCATTCACTCTTCTCTTGGATGATATATACCCACCTTTTTTTTAAATATATATATTTTTTTTATAGTATCCATTTTAATATATATTTTTTAATCCTCTGTAAATTATATAATGTTTTTTAAAAAATAATAAAAAAGTCGAATAATTAAAAAAAAAAATACTCCCAATATCAGTATCTTTTTTTAATTATTATAAAAATAAAAAAATTAAATTAAATGCATAATTATATTTTTACATAAAAAATATTGATTTCTTAATTACATTTGGTTCAAAGGGGGTGGTGAAAAATCAATATAAATATTGGTATGGCATCGGATCGATTTTGAAACAATATCAGAAAATATAGGATCAGATCGGTGAAAAATATATAGATCGGCACAGCCCTAATTAAGTTGCATACTATTTAATTTGGAAACATATACCTTTTCAGTTTAAATATTAAAAAAAGTTGAAATAAAATCGAAATTAAAAAAATAGTTTGGTAAACGGATGTTATGTAAAATAATAATTAAAAATGACATGTTATTCTAATTGACAATATGAATTTAAAATGATTATTTAGGATATTTATGTATATACATCGGTCCGAACACCTCTTACAACCCGACTCGAAAATAAAGTCTCTTATGTCCGAACCCTAGCTCCTACTAGACAGCCCGTACAGACCTCTAAATGTATCTAGATCCTTGAAAAGTATCTTTTAACAACTCTGGTAATTACCAAATAAAATATAAAGCTGAAAAAAATTGTAATTTTGTCGTTGAATAATTTTATTAAATATGATAAAATTTAAATGAGGAAAAGAATACTTTAAAATTAAGTTTCATTTGGTTTTGAGGTTGCATGAAAATAATATAAAAGGACATGAGGATGATGACTCCAAGAATAGCTAAGGGGATGATAGCCACGGGCTGCGAATCAAATACGTGTTTCTCTGCTTTCGACATGATGATACAAAATATTGTAATAGATAGACCTAATTTTTTAAGTGATTAAAATAATGCAAAAATTATTATTTATTATAATTTAAAGATGCAAGAAATTTATATTATCGTTATAAAAATTCGTTTGCTATATATTTTATTTTATATATAATTTATAATTTTTTTAAAAATTTCAGTAAGAGTAGAGCACTGCAAATTCTTTTGTCTGAGCCCATCCCGTAGCTTTTATTCATTTTTAAGCCCGATCCAAAATTTTTATTCATTCTTAGCCAAGCCTGACTGGCTGCAAATAGGAGTATATAGTATAAAACATGACAAAAGCTGTCTCCGTTCATTTTAAACGCTGTCAAACTATATTTTTTCTATATTAAAAGGTATTACTAGGTTAGAATTGCCATATGCCTGTTTAGCCATTTCTTTATGTCATAGAGGGACATTAAAAATAACAATATGTCCCTGTTTATGAAAAAAAAATTTATTCCTAGTGCTATTAAAAAATTTTTACCACATTATTTTATTAAAATAAATATTTAACTTAACATAAATTACAAAAAGATTCCATATCGAAAAGTAAAAATTACAATATATATTTTAGAGATCTACTAAAGTAGGCCCGGGTCGGGCCTATTTTTTAAAAAAAATCGTGCTCAGACTGGGGGCCGGGTCGAGCTAAGTTGAATTTTTTATGTAAAAGAAAAAATATTTGATTTTATTTATAGAAACTTCGGAACAGGCCATCAAACTTTTTTAAAAAAATTTGGGTTCAGGCCGGGCTTAAAAAATTAGACCCGAATGTTCAAAGTAATATATGTGTTTTCAGAACTGATTTTTCAATAGATTAGAAATTTATAGAAAAAAACAGAAGAAATTGGTCCATGACTATAGAAAAATACTACATTTTCTTGGATGATGTCCAAAAACTATAATGAGATAATACGTGTTTATATTCTAACTAGCTAATAACCCGTTAAGAATGACAGGGTTGAGGGGTAATTAGTTAGTTTGTGTATATTGTACTAAATATGCTTTATATTAAAATTTAGGAGAAAAGGAGGTAAAATTGTTGCAATATAACTCGTGAGCATTAAGGGTATTAGAAATATCAAAATTTAAATTTGTGATAGGAATCATATTGGGTAAAATTAAAAATAGAGATTCTTCAAAATTTTTGAATTTTAAATATGGGTTAGACATTGGCCTCAAAATTTTGTTTTACAAAAAATAATTTTCAGGCCAATGTCTAGCTCATATTTAAAATTAAAAAATTTTCAAGCATTTCTTTTTTATATTTTTCACAATATGATTTTTATCACAAATCTAAATTTTATTCATTTAAGACATTTTTATTAAATTACAAATAAATGGCAAAATTTTATGAAAGTTGCATGAGATGGTTTTTTGATGAGACCTCTGGCTATGTCTATAAAAAAAAAATTTCAGTATAAACCATATTTAAAATTGAAAAATCTTAAAGCATCTCTATTTTAAATTTTATCCAATATGATTTCCATCACAAATTTAAATTTTGATATTTCTAATACATGCTCATGGTATACATTGCAACAATTTTACCTCTTTCTCTCCTAAATTTTAATATTTATATAAAATTTATTAATAAAGTTTATTTAGTACCATACACACAAACTAAATAATTACCCTTCAACCCCATCAGCTAGTATGGCAATAAACAGAAGAATTTAAAAAATATCAATTATTAATTAATATATATATAATTAATATTTTAAATTTAATTATATTCAAGTTGGCGCATGTTTAAAACATACGATTTTGAACGGTAGGCTTGTGTTTGACTCTCGTGAGCAAAAAAATAACATTACACTATATAGTCTCCTTAAATTTTAAATACATTAGGAAGATACAATATTATTTTTATTTATAATGTAATTAATATATTAACTGAATACTTCGCCTGATAGAAATCTTATCTCATGATATGCTAAATACAATCACCCTATATATTTAACAACACAAGAAGGAGTTATAAAATTATGACTTTAAAGAGAAGGCCACATATATAAAGGCAAAATTCTGTTGCTGACTTAAATAAACAAATATCCTAAATATCAAACCTTCCTATCATCATTACCATGAAAGGAATCTGTCCAACTTGTCACAAACTAATAAATATAAAAAAAAGATGACCATCTTTACAAACATGGCCCTACAACCCTCCCTTGCTCAGGCTCTAACACACTTTGCAAAAAACTTATAGAACCCCCAATCAATACCAAACACATACAAGTAAATAACAAATCACTGAAGAATTTATCTTTATTAATAAAACACCAACAATTAAGTACATCCCAACTAGTATTAACTACCATATCACAGACCATCTCACCAAATTATTTGATAATATTAACTTAGATTTGTCAAACACAAATCATTGAAATAATCTCTTCACTTTCCCTTTTAAATGTCTCTCAATCCCAAAAGATAAAAATTCTATTTCACTACCTAACCTTATAAAAGACAGACTTAAAAATATGGATAACTTAACACTTCTAGAACACATCAAATATCCCAATAATCCTAATGAAAGTTTCAATAAAACCTGTAACAAAATCTCCAAAAAAATAAATGAAGGCGACGTGTGTGGTGCCTAAAAATATCTCCTCACAAACAAAACTACCCACATCTAATGATGCGACCCTTGAAAACCTAAAATCTCTTCATCCACGAGCTTCTTATACTAGCTTACCAAACCCTCCAATATCCGTCCTCTCATAATATCAAATCAAGATGTACGCGACACTATAAGCAAATTTAATAAATTTTCAGCAGCAGGTCCTGATGGCTATAGACCTTCTTACTTCCAAACATTCCTAAAATCTCCCAATTCAAATAGTTTTTTTTTAACTCACTTACAACCTTCCTCAATAATATAATCACTAGATATATACCCACATTAGCTCATCAAATAATATTTGGAGCTAACTTGATTGCATTTGAAAAACCTAAAGGAGGTATCCGCCCAATTGTTATCGGTTCTTTCTTCAGACGCCTGATTACTAAAATTATCGCAAAAAAAATAAAAACCGATACTCATTCCCTGCTTGGCAATTACCAATTAGGCTGCGGAACAAAAGGAGGGTAGATATAGCCTTTCAATGTCTTCAAATCTACCTACAACATCCACCTATAAACTCCGTTCTTTGCAAAATTGATTTTAAGAACGCCTTCAGTACTGTATCTCGTTCCTCGGCACTCGAATCCTTTTACGACAATTTCCCCCAATACTCGCGCATCGTTGACATTTGCTATACCAATAGCACTCCCCTCATTTTCAATGGTTGCGTTATATACTCCGAAGAGGGTGTTCAACAGGGCGACCCCCTTGGCCCTATACTTTTCTGCTTAGCCATCCATAATATGATGAAAGATCTCAAATCTGATTTTGATCTAGACCTTAATCTATGGTACCTAGACGATGGCATACTCTGCGGTAACCAACATCAAATAAGCAAAGCCCTCTACCACCTCGAAAGAGAATGCCCCAAAATAGGCCTATAATTAAACAAAACCAAAACAGAAATCTGCATACTCAACCCCGAGATTCCCCTAGACTCATTTAAAGATTACAATATTATCGAAATTGAAGATATCCAACTCTTGGGCTCCCCACTACTTAATAATAAATTTCGGAAAAAACTATCGATAAAATCTTCTCCGAGATGCAAAATTTGGAAAAGTTCATCAATCATATCCCATCGCACCAACTTTTTTATCTATTAAAAAGTGCCTATATTTACCTAAAATCTCGCACCTCTTCCACTCATCCTTCTCATTCACCTCCTCAAGATTTTTCACCCAACATAATATTCGCTTAAAGACCTTTATGGAAAGGATCCTTAATCTTCCATTATCAGACTTTAATTGGCACCTTGCTCAATTACCCGCTAAACTTGGTGGTATCGACCTGATCCCCTTAGAATTACTCTCCCTATCTCTATCTATAATCGCCTTTCGCTCAATTCCGCGATCTCATCTTTCATAACCCCCAATGACCATCTATCTCTTAACAGTAGCAATCGAAAGATGGAATCTACTAACCCCAGACGGTCAAACATTCCCAATCGAAATTTCTAATAAATCAATCTTGGAACCCCTTATAAGTAAACTACAAAATAGTCTTAACCCTTCCGATATCAGCGATATACAACTTCTTCAACTAAACATTAAATAAGGCGGGCATGAATGGCTCGAGGCACTTCCAAGCCTAACCCTTGATAATCTCTTAACCAATGACCAACTGAGAGTTACCATAGGATTTAGACTTGGATGCTCGCTTACACATTCACACACTTGCCACCTTTGCAACCTACCCGTTCAACCAAACGCAAGACACGGCCTAAACTGCTCCCGCAGCCAAGGTCGCCACCTCCGGCATAAAGCTATAAATAAAATCATCCACAACGCTCTTAATAAAGCTAAAATACCTAATCCTAGAACCAATAAACCTCTCTTTACAAGATGGTCTCAGACCTGACGGTTTAACCTGCACCCCATGGTTCAATGGGAAATCCCTAATTTGGGACGCAACCTGCGTCTTATCAATTAATTCAAACCCTCTTACTAGCGGAGAAAATAGAAAAATTAATAAATACTCAATACTAAATAACTTTATTTTTCAACCCATAGTCATTTCAACTAATGGCAATTTCTCACAATCAACATATTTTTTTAAAAAAATCTTAGCACGTAAAATTTATAACATTACAAACGAAAAACGCGAATCAATTTTTCTTAAACAAAAACTCCAATTAGAAATTTTTAAACATAATTATACCTGTTTTTTAGGAACATTTTTACTATAAGCTCTTTTTAGAGCCATCGATATTTTTAAAATATACATTCACTTTTAATATATATATATATTCATTTTTTATTTTTATATTTTGTTTACATGTTTTAAAGATAAATGAATAATAATTAATAAAATTTAAAATTTGAGAAATAGCACCGGTGAAAACCGTTTAAATGAATTAGATCTATTAAATATTTATAGGGAGATTATTCTAGATAATTCGTCAAATCTCAGAGAAAGTTCTTAGTCATAAAATTTTTATATGCAAAACTTAATTGTAATATATTTTTAATAAAGGTATTGCAGTTGCAATAAGAGTTATTTATATTTTGATAATATAATTGTATTAATTATAATTGTTAAATTATATTTTTTTAAATACCGTTATGTGCAACAATTACTTATATTTTATTGTAATAATATTTTTTTTAAATATAAAATTTATACATTTTGAAATTTATTTTATTGTATTATCATAAATAAATGGGATATTATTTATACTAAAGTATTTTAATAATAAATAAAATTCTGTAAAATTTGGTTATATGCAAAATTTTAATTAAAATAATTATTTTTAACATAGAATAGATATATTGAGTGATCATAAAAAATGGGAGGGTTGGGGGGGAGGGGTAAATTTTATATTCTTTCTACACCGAATGGATTGAATTAATTCAATTGAACACTAAACATTGTTAAAATTTTCAGAATAATGCTCGCCTTTTATCATAAATTTGGCCATAATTTTGATATTAATATTTTTCCATTTATGCCGGTGTAGGATTGTGAAATCAATATCCATTGTAGTGTCAATACCGTATTGATATTATCCTTGTAGATTCAATACCGTAGTAATATTTTGATATTGTAGTACCGTATTGATTTTTAAAAGATGTTTACATCGCTTCAAATATATTAGCGGCCATTAAAATTGTAAAATATTTATTCATTATATATTTCTTCATCGTTTCAAATATATTGGCAGCCATTAAAATTATTAAATATTTATTATTATATATTTTTTCATCGCTTCAAAAATATTGGCGGCCATTTTTTATTTGTAAAAAATTTATTTAAAATATATTTAATAGTTTTAAATATATTTAATATAAAAATGATTTTCTATTCTTAAGGGAATTTATTTATTTTACAATGATATCCTATATAATTTTTATTTGTTAACCCATTATTTGTAATAATTTTCTTCTCATAGTTAAAATTATGTTTATTCAACTCCATCCTGCAGAAAATTTTAATTAAATACAATGTATATATGTTTTCTACATTTATCATAGTATTATTGGGCTCTTTAACCTTAAAATTTTAATAGACAAAAGCTTAAGCTAATCATAGACAAATAAAGGGTTTCCATTACATCAAAGAATCTCAATCAATATCTATCACTCTGATTATGTTTTAATCATTTCCTGTTGGCTTCATAAAATCTTTATTTTATATTTTAGATGAATATACAATTATATTTTTAACTGATTAAAATTTAACACTTATATTTATGACACAAAATTTTTTTATATAGAAATTTATAAAATCAAATTTTAATGTTTTAAATTATTCTTTTAAACTGAAACTTTATTTTATTGCAATAATATTAAACTGGTTGATTTATTAATACTATATAAATAAAAAGGATAAACATAATTTTATTTCAAAAAAAACAAGAAAAATATTATAAAAAGAAAATATATCAAGGAAACAGAATTATCACAAAAAATTGAGTTATTATATTATAAAACAATTAAAATGATCTAAAGATCCTATATTAAATATTATTTATATTTTAAGCAGTAAAGGATATTTTCCTATTACTAAGTATTATTTTATTGTTTGATGTTTACTTGTTATTGTTTGATATTTATCTGTTATTGCTTGATATAAATTTATAATTATAATTTTAAATGTACCAATTTAAGCATTGCTTGATATAAATTATTTATTAAATTTAAATGTAACAATTTCATTAATTAATTTTAGATTTTATTCGTAAAAATTGAGGTTCGGTCATAAATTATCAATACGGTATTGATTAATATTACCTGTTCAGCCAACTTTAACAAAGATGATATAAAAATAACTACAAAAAATATTATTATTATATAATATATTTTAGGGAGCGGGCTGAAGGCTGGAGGAAAAGGAGTTTGGGGGCAAAGTCCCCCAAAAAAAATTTTAAACATCCCCCCCATGGATAAATACTGGCTACGCCACTATTAATAACTTAATTTAAATCAAGCCCTGGTTGAAAAAAATTATTCTTATTAATCCCATTATACTTAGTTTCCAATATACAATCTATTATGTCCATCGTTTTAAAAACACATGGTGCCCTGGGTCAATATTTATTACATAATTGTCCAACTTAATTCTCTTAATATATTCACTTCTAGGAATAATAATAGTGGTAATTGGCACAGAAATACCAATATTAATTTTAGCAAAAAGATATTGACCCAGTGAACCAATAAATAAATGAATTCCTGCTCACAATCTCCCACTCGCTATATCCATAGCCCCAAGAGGAGCTCGTAATAATTTTTCAAAATCTTTGTCCAATATTTTGTCTGGAATTGTTAACAACCCTGCTAATTTAACATTCTGGAAAAATCAATTTCTCTACCCTAACTCTGTTTTATCTATTTCCAAGAAAAATTTAAAAAAATTGTCATAAGATATTAGAGAGAACACAACCTTTAACAAAAATTATGCTAACACTTTCATATATGAAAAACTGGTTTCTCCTTCAAAAAATTTCAAAATCCAAAATGATCTTTCACAAATCAACCAAGGTGATGTGAATGTAGCGTTTCTCATCATTAATTCAAATAATCTTACTCCTAAATAATGAATTAACTTTCAATGAATTGGCTAGATAGTATCAGCTACCTTGGTCTTTCAGTTGCATCTTCAGCATGATCCAACAGAAATGCCTCAGCAATTAGCTCGGCTTGAAAATATATAAATATTAAGACATAGCTAACGCAATTTTTACTCGAATACTCTTGGTGCTTTTGGTAGGGGATTCTTTAAATTTATCAAATTATTAAGGAGAAAAGTAAGCCAAACAAGTGGCGATCATAATGAAGCCTTTTATTTAAAGCAAGCCATTACGATAACTATTCATCAAAGTAAGTCTTACCTGTTATTACCTAATTTAATTGTTTTTTAAAAAAATTTATAATATATATATATGTAGTGTTGTTAAACGGCTCGTTTTAAGCCGATTTTTAAAAACGGCTAACTCAATATTTCATCCAGAAAAATATACGCAAGCCTGAAGATTTTGCTCATAGAAGGAACAAAGGTCTAGACATATATAAACGAAATCTCGGGGCTTAGGCAAAATTTTTCTGGCTAAAATATTAAGTTAGCCATTTTAAAAAATCGGCTCAAAACAAGCCGTTTAACAACACTATATATATGCAGTATATCTTTATATCGTGATGTATTTTTATATGACCTTAGTTTTAAATTTGTTTTTAATAATAAATATTTTAAAGCATAAATTATTATATTTATTATATAAATAGAGAAAAGCTACTTTTCAAAAAAAGTAGGTGGGCTATCGTTAAAGTTTCAAAAAATGTATTGCGATACCTTAACAAAGCCAACTATGCTGAGGTTATTTTTATGATTATGAAAATAAGTATTAAATTGTAAAAATAACTAACATGCAAGCGTTGTGAAAAATGTAACGATTTTGGAAGATGAGATAGAGGCTCTTCCCCTAGGGAAAAAAAGCCGTTTCCATAATGTTCTACCTGCACCACTTTGTAAATCATCGATATTATCGTCTTGTGAAGAACTAAAATCTAATTTTTCTGAATTCTCTTTAGATAAAATGAACCTAAAATAATTGTTTTAAAAAGATTATAAAATTTGGTTGGATAAAATAGTTTATATGGTTTTGTAGGAGAGTAAAATATATAATTTTTCTCAAAATATAAAATATTTTTCTTGAGATTAATGCTTGCGTATAAAATAAATTGATGATAGATTATAAATTTACTCGTCTAAAGGCATAAGTGGCGATGGCGTCGATAAAACACCAATTGATGATTCATTAGGCCTATATCTATAATATAAAGGTAAGATTATTCTTAAGGGATTATTTTGTGCTTTTAAATTGAGGCGTTTGTGGTTTTTATTTCTAATAATACATTTTAAATGGAATAATATCGTGCAAATGGTAACTTTTTAAACTATTTTGTATTTATCAATATTATTTTTTCACATATAGAAATAAATTTCCTTTAAATACCACCTTAATTCAAAAAATGTGGCGTGTTTTTTATAATAAAAAAACACAACGCTAAAAAGCAATTAATCAAAATTTTATTATATAATCTTTTTTTTTAATTTATTAAAATCAATTTTTTATTAAATAAGAATTAGCTTTTATATATCCATTAATATATAAATCCATTTTTATCTAATATTAATGGGGAGGGGGGGGGGGGGATATATTAACTAGCTTAATAGGTATATACACAAATTTCAATTTTTAATTTGAAAATTGAATATATATAATGCATATATGAAAATATCATATTAGGAAGCCTGAATGATTAAGCCCTTTTGTTTTCTATGTGGATGAAGATACACGTGGAAAACTTAAAAAATTTTTAAAAAAGTAGATTTCTTTTTCATTTAAAAAGTTTAGAATCGAAAAATAACTGAAAATTTGTACCGTACATATATCCGGTGTCAATGACGAAATCTTTTCTTTTTTTCAATGCTTATATTTACGTGTAAAATATTATCCTAAAAAATATTGTGATTGCCAACTCAAAACCGGCCGATAACTAAATACTGCATTGGTGATATCCTTTAAACTGTTCATTTTTGTCATATATCGTTATAATAATTACGTGGATAACATTATTCCAAAAAATATTTTAAAAATATTGTGCCCATACACATACGAAACAAAAATGAAGATCTTCCCATAGATATCACCAGCAATGCTATTTATTTGGCCAGTTGAGTCGGCTATTGGTCAAATCATAATATTTATAAAAAAAATTTAGGATAATGTTTTACAGGTAAATATAAGCATTGAAAAAGAGAGATTTCAATCAATAACGCCAGCAATATGTGCCTTACAAGTTTGCGATTATTTTTCGATTCTAAATTTACTCATAAATAAAATGTCAAAGAAACCTTTCATTCTTTATTGATTTTTAGGTTTTTCATATGTATCTACACCCAAATATAAAAAAAGCACCAATCAATAATCATTCAAGTTTCCTAATATATTTTTAAATTTATGCATTTAAAGGATATATTTTTTAAATTTAAAATTGAAAATAAAATTTGAGTTGTAATAAGCAAGCAAATATATTTTTTTCCATAATAAAAATAGATTTATATAATAATGGATATTTAATCTCCATTTTTTATTTAATAAAATATATTTTAAAAATGTTTCTGAAAATTATTTATAAAAAAAGATTATATAATAAAATTTTGATTAATTGCTTTTTAGCAATTTAATATTTAACCATATTCCCCAAATAAAAGGTATTCAATTTACATTAATTAAATATGAATATTTAATAATTTAATATAACATATTGAATGATACCTAAGTAATAAGACACAAGCCGCGACTAATGTGTAGGCTAAAAGAGTACCAAGAGACATCATATCAACAAGTTCCTTTAAATTAAATATCATCGCCATGATTCCTAGTTTATAAATTTACAATAGTTAATTTATATTAGTGTTCATATGCCATATTTTCAACTTTTTTAAAAACAAAATCATTTGAAAATTTATGATTACGAATATTGTTTATTAATTCCTAACCAGATAATAAGGAAAATTTAAAAATATTTTTAAAATCATAAAGAAATTTATTTTACTTTTATATTAAATTTAATCAAAAATAATTAAAAATGATAGAAATTAAACGCCTTATTATCATCAACATATCCAAGAAATATTTTTAATAAACAAATTCATTATTTTTAGAATATTATAATGCGCATTATTTCAATTAGTTTAAATCTGAAATTTCGGACAAAACATTATTAAATCGATAACATTACATCCAGTTTTTAATTTTGATAAAATTTTACATACTGAAAACAAAATCATTAGCTATCGAATTCAAAATTCCATCCTTAGCTACAATTTAGGATTTGATGCCTGCTAATAATGGTTCTAAGTATGTAAAATTAAAAAAGTCGAAATTTTTCAATTTAATAACTGATCCTAATAATATAAATCTAATCAACCTGCAAAAGAACCGGCACATATGGTGGCAAGTATAGGTGTTTTTAGCTTGGGACTAACTTTTGCAAATCTTCTGAATATAAGACCATCACTAGCCATAGCATAGATAACACGAGGTAAAGGAAACATAGACCCCATGAGACTTTAATTATACAAACAAAATAATTTTACCCAATAATAAATCAGAGATACTACAATATTCAATAACACATTAAGTTCCTAAGTGATAATACATAAAAATCTCAAAGGCATCGATAAGAGTTCCATGTCAATTCAGGGAGACTTTTATCGCAACGCTTTCGCTTTTTTTATGCTAAAAAACTATTCGTTTTTATAAACTAAAAAGGGCATATCAAGAGTGAGTCTTTTCCTGACCCTTTAAATTTAAGGTTCTTTGACTAAGAAATTATGTTTCTTCTGAAAAATTTTTCGCCCTTACACGTAAAAAGTATTTTTTTATATATAAAATAATACCTGGTAGATAGGCCACACATGGATCCAATGGAAACGAGAATTTTGACTTTATTCCACCCAATGTAGGCAAATGCGAAAGGGATGGGGGCGTTCGAGTCGAGTTCAAAATAAGGGATCATGAGCGTTAAGCTGGCGGATATTCCAACGTATGCCAGAAAACAGCAAAGCAGCGACAGAATTATGCTGATGGGAATGGTTCTTTGAGGATTAATCACTTCTTCACCTGTAAAATAAAAGGTTGTTTTATTAGTTCTTTAAAGGATCCCATTAAAATTAAAAATTAATTGCGTGATTAAAATTTTAAACAGATATTTGAGATGGAAAACAAGTAATACAATAATGGTTGGTAGGATTGAAATTTGTAAGTTTTTAGAGCAATGGTTATGTGATGGATATCCCGGTATCAAGATTTGCAGCGAATGCTGGGGTTCCCAAGTGAGGTGATTTTTCTAATCTGTGCTATAAGGTAGTCAATGCTGCGAGGGATATCAAGTGCGAAAGAATATATGTTGGTGATGTGACAAAAAACTTGGTGCATCTAACTGTATTGGAATGGATAATTTATACAGGGACGGACTAGCCATAAGACCAAGTAGGCATTTTTGCCCACGAGACCGCGAGAAAGTCAATTTTTAAGGCCGATCAGAGGAATATATCAAAAATAAAGCCGATTAGAAAAAAAATATTATAATGTTCACATTATTTTCTTTATAATATTATTTGAATATCAGATTCCTTCAGAACTATCATGTCGTCTCTATTTTAATGCATAAAATTCAATAACATCGCTCTACTTATACATCATTACCACGTGCTTTTCCCTCTTTACTTTTCAAATGAAGTGAAAACGTTTCCGTTTGAGTAGAGTGAAAGCTAAGTTTTGATTAATTTATTATTTAATGTAGAAATAATATAGCCATATTTGTGGTTGTATTTCTTGTTCTTAATTCAGTAAAATTAAATAAACCCCAGGTATACAAATTTTAATAAAATAAATTTTTGATCAATTTGTTTTCTAATGCTTCTTTTTAATATTAATTAATTGTTAATTTATGTTATTTTTTTACTAACTAATCTTAACGAATACAGATTGTTAAAATCTTACCTAATATTTGGATTACAACAATTTACTTATTTGCAAAAATTTTCAGTAAAATTTATAGTACAAACCAAATATAATAATAAACTTTATATAGCTATTTTTACACTAATATGATCATTGAATTAAGATGTATGTAAAACGTCAAAAGTAAACAACTAAATTATATTTTATAACCCATAGACAGTAACGTTTTTTTATTATTACTAGCTTGCTCATTTTTTATAAAAATAAATCATTTTATATGAAATATGATTTCTTTTTGAATTCCTAGTTCATATCTTGAGATATTTTTTTAGCCTTAAGTTTAGTAAATGTTTTATGCAATATCATATGATAGCATAACCAAACATGATGACTTTATTGCCTTATATTAAATTACAATTCTTTAAAAAATATATATAAACTTTAATTTTACACTTATCTTGTTTATATTTATGATGGGTAGCGTACACATGTATTATTTTTAGCTAAAAAGATAAAAGATATATTTTTAAATATCATGAATAGAAATTGTTGTGTTTGTCATTAATTATTCTTTTACACGACATTACAATTTATAAAACCTTGTTATGAAAATTTTTCACTTGAAACTGGACCAAGCCAGATTTAAGTATAGTCAATATTTATAAAATCTTTTATAATAGTACTTCTTTCAAAGTCTCCTCACGTTGATTTTGCCATTAATTATCCCTTTCGTTTGTGTCCCTATCACTGTTCTTTACATTTTTTTTTATGTGACATTATAATTTTAAAACCTTGTTATGATATTTGTTTCACTTGAAACGGGTCCAAGCTAGATTTAAGGATGGCCAATATGCATATAATCTTTACAATACTCAGTGTTATGATGATTTAATGAAACATGTTGACGATTAAATTAAAACCCATCAATATATAAATATATTGTTTGCAAAAATAATTAAAATAACACAAGCAATAAAAGAATTTTCAATAATGCTTTGTCTATATTTTAATTATTTTTGCAAACAAAATACTTTTATATGGTGGGTTTTAATTTAATCGTCAATATGTTTCATTAAATTATCACAACACTGTATAGTTTTTTCTTTTATGACAAGAACAATAGTTGTTGTTAACCTACTTTAGTTATATAAATAGGTGAAAATTATGTAATCAAGGAATTAAATTTTTTTTTGAAAATTTATTTTACATAATTAGATTAATTATTTTTATATAAACTACGCCGAAAAATTAATTTTATTATTTAATTCAATAAATCCTTGATTTTTTTATATAAACTCCGATTAAAGATTTATTTTTTTTACGACCGTACGACCCCCGATTATGAAAATTTTTAAATCCGCTTTAATTCAGCAGTGCGGTGAATGCCATTCTTTTCCCATTTTTCTTTTAGTTAACTAGAGACCCGACCCGTTATTTATAACAAATCAGTTTGGTTACTGTTCAGTAAATTATAATGGTTACGGTTCTTAAGAAAAAATTTATAAAGGTTAGGTTAGGTTCAGATAATTGTAATATGGTTCATTACGGTTAAAAAAAAATTTTTATTGAGGCAACACCATCGTATAATGATTTTAATTATGAATATTTATTAAAAATTTTGTCATCACTAATTTATTTTTATTATAAGCATCTATGAATTATATATATAAAAAATATTTAAGATTCAAACTTTATTAAGGATAAGATAGATATAGTAAAATTTATAATTACACCACAAGGAAAATAATGTAAAAAAATTAGAAATTTATTTTATTTTTCTGTAAACCGATTTAACTATTTTTTATAAAGGTTCTTTTTACTATTCAAAAAATAATTATATCGGTTCGGTTACGGTTCAGATATTTATAACGGTTTATAATGTTTAACGCTTCGTTCCGGTTCATTCCATGTCCTTCTAGTTAACTAAAGTTTATAATCCGCCCTATAGCATTGCGGCGTAAGCCGTTCCTTTCATTTCTTAATCAAGTTATTTAAGACTTAAATCTGCACAAATTCAGCGGTGTGGCGAATGCCGTTCCTTTTTTTATCAAATCAATGTAGAAATTAAATTCGCTCTAATCCAGCGGTGCGGCGAATACTGGTCCTTATTTATTAAATTTATTTAGGACCTAAATCCGCCCTAACCAAGAGGAGCGGAGGTTGCCGTCAAGGTTAGGAAAACGACCCTCGAAGGGACTGCGCGTCTTACAATAAAATACCGATGGCACTTACAAGTTCTCATTTATTTGATGTGTTTAGTAAGATGACCAAAATGCCCACAAAATCTGGTACCCCGTCACCCTCTCCGAAAATCCCCCACCTTCCCGATTGAACTGCCTACAGTCACTGTCCCAAACATTACAGAAATGCTAAAAAGAAATTTACATAAAAATTAGTAGAAAAAATGCTGGTCTCAAAGCAGCTGGTGCTGATCCAAAATATTAAATCATCTTTCTTTGATAAATCAATACCAAGTATTTCTAATACTATTATTTCATGTAAAAAATATTTTAGGAATATCAACAACTGCCTCACATTCACATCTACCTGAAACAACTACATTGTCTGCAACATCTTCATTTATTATTGCATCAGTTCAATCTTTGCAATACCCACCTAAAACTATATTATCCACCAATACAGAAGATATAAAACTATATTATCCACCAATATAGCAGATATATCATTCACATACCTTGAAATTACATTATCTACAATTACAGCAATTCCATCTTTGGGCAATTTTTTATAGCGTTTGAGAGCCTTTAGCCCGCTTTTATCAGGCTTTCAGCCGGGCTCCCTTAAATGGCTTCTTCAATTTACATAATATTTCTTACTTTTGAAAATAAGTTCAAAAGATTTAGATTTTTAATAAATATAAAAGAATAATATGACATGATAATCATATATTTTATTTTAAAAAATTGTATGTATAAAATCATATTCATAACACATATGAAAAAATATTCATTGCACATATATATTTTATATTGATTTACAGTGATATTGCACCATAAAATCAAATCATACATCACATGTTAAGCATAAAATAATACATAGTCGATATATAAAATTAATTACACAATTATTGCCATTATACAATATTGCACAGAGAATAAAATTGCTGCACTTGTAAAATCAAGCACCGATTATATTGTAAATAGATATATATATAAGATTTAAATAAAAGAATTAAGATAATATAAAAATTTTACGTTAATAAATCTCTCATCTTTCAACCTTTGCGCAAATAAACAAGAATATCTTCTAGTTCAAGCGCTAATAGTTCTCGTTCATCTTGGCCTATATTAGCTCTCAGCCTATTTTTTATGATTTTTAATTTACTAAATTATCTCTCACAATTAACCTGCGTAAATGACAAAGTTAAATGTATATATATGCAAAAATAAATTAGTATATGCACTTGGGTATCTTTTAAGAATTTCATACATGCATATTAACCACTTGTTATATTTTATCACACTCTGAGTTATTATCATATAGTAATATTCCATCTTCTTCATTTGACTCCTCACTTTATACATACGATATCATCGTTCGTTTCATTTAATTCTGCTATTAAATCTTACGTAATTTAACACTCAATATATTTGCCAATTGTGCCAGTTTTTCCAAGGCCTTTTCAGAAATCTCTTTACTATTTATTTCATCAACGATGATATCGTATGTATAAGTGAGGAGTCAAATGAAGAAGATGGTACAATACAATATGATAATAACTATGTGATAATAAATATAACAAGTGGTTAACATGCGTGTATGAAATTCTTAGAAGATACAATATGCACACAAGTGCCTATACTAATTTATTTTTGGCATATAAATGCATTTAACTTTGCCATTTACGCAGGTTAATTGTTAGAGATAATTTAGTAAATTAAAAATCATAAAAAATAGGCTGAGAGCTAATATAGGCCAAGAAAAATTATAAGCGTTATTAATGATGTCAGTTGAACGAGAACTATTAGAGCAGATTGAACTAGAAGACATTCTTGTTTATTTGCGCAAAGGTTTAAAGTTAATGAGAGATTTATTAACGTAAAAATTATATATTATCTTAATTCTTTTATTTAAATCTTATTTATATCTATTTATATATGATCGGTGCCTGATTTTATAAGTGCAGCAATTTTATTCTTTGTCCAAGTATATTGCAATAATTTTTTGTGTAATTAATAGATTTTATATATTGAATATGTATTATTTTATATTTAACATGTGATGTATGATTTGATTTTATAGTGCAATAGCATTGTAAATCTAATATAAAATATATATGTGCAATGAATATTTTTTTATATGTGCAATGAATATTTTTTTATATGTGCAATGAATATTTTTTTTATATATGTAATGAATATAATTTTAAATGAGCAATTTTTTAAAATAAAATTTATGTTTATCGTTATTTCTTTTATTTTTATTAAAAATGTAAATCGTTTAAACTTATTTTCAAAAATAAGAAGTAATAAAAATTATGTAATTCGAAGACGCCAAAAAAAAGCAGGCCGAAGGCCCTCAAAAAATGAGGCCGCTATAAATAATGCCCAAGAGGCCATAGCGTCGCTAGTCCGGCCCTGTATCAGGAAGCGTAGCAATTTTAAAAAATGATTAAAAAGAACGTTCAAAATTAATAATTGTAACTTTAAAATAATAAAATCTTATCTTTTTTGAGATATAACATTGGTAAATTTAAAAGTAATAAATGTCATATATCCTATGTCAAATAAAGTGTTATATAACTTGTGGAGTAAATTAGAATGATTAAGAATATGCTTAATTTTAATATAGTGGTTTCAGATGAAGTAACTTGCACTAGTGGCAGAAATATGATTTTAAAATGATGGCTTATAAAATTATCGTGCCTCAAAGGGTTAACCATTCATTTATCATAGATAAAAAAATTTTAATTTTTAATAAAATATATATGAAAATTTTTGTAGTTTCGAAAATAAAACAAAACTGTAAATATTAAAAATTTTAAACTTAACTTATCAATCAGTCAATATTAACAAAAATATAAATTTTAACATTACCTATCAGTCACAATTGTCAATATTACTAAACAATAGAAGATTTAACGTTAATCTTCAGTCATAAATGTCAATAAAACATAATACATTACAAGTCAGTCATAAATGCCAGTATACTAAATATTATAAATTTTAACATTAAGTAACAGTCATAATGTCAGTATCACTAAATAGGGATGTACCGATATTTTTTATCGAAACGGATCGGTCCGATATTTTACCCATTTTAAAATATCGGTTATCGGCCAATATTATAAAATTTCCGATCTGATAAAAAATGACGTCTTTAACAAAAATAATGTTATTAAATATTTTTTTAAAGTTATATCTAAAATTATTTATTTTTATAAATAAAATCGAAATCCATTTTTATGTTTATTTTTTTAATAATAATAATTAATTAATAAACATTCTGCCATATTGTTATTTTTTTTAAGCATTCTGTTTATAAAAAGTGTGCGATAATTTCTTCTGAATCAGTTTTTAGTGAAGCTGGTGATATTGACAGTTGCCATTGTCGCAGGCTGACCTCTGATATTGGAAATTTTGGTATTTCTAAAATGAAATCTTCGATAATGTTAAATATTATTTTAAATATTTATTTCAAATTTCATAATATATTTGTTTATTACTTATTATATAAAAGTAATTTAACAATAAAAATATTTTATATACTTTTAGAATTGCAATTGAATTAAATATAAACTATAACTGATTATTATAATATATAATATATAAATGACATAAGTTATGGTATAGTTAGATTATAGATGTTATACTAATAAAAAGTATATTAAAAATTAAAACCATTGGTATCTTTACAGAATACAAAATTAGAAATGATATCGGATTGGTAATCGGCCGATATCAATTTAATATCGGATCGGCCTTCAAAACGTGGTAGTGGTACACCCCTACTAAATAATATAAACTCTAACATTACATGTTAGTCATAAATGTCAGTTAAATTATAAGACTACACGTTAGCATAAATATCAGTACTACTAAAATTTAGGATATTTGTCAGAATATATTGTAACGTCAATCATATATGTCAGTATTATTAAAGGGAGTTAAACATAAACTAAATCACCTTACACCAGCCCGAGTTTTTTTAAAATACAATTTTTACAATTCCAATCTATAAACAAATGTTTTAATGACCCACATTTATAAAAAAAATTGGTTTAAAAAAAAATACCTATTTAGTTTACTTCAAAATGATAGATGAAGATTATTTTTCAATTAATACTAAAAAATGTAGGGAACTAACTAAGTATGGGTTTAAAATTTATAATTTCATCTAAAAATATTATAATTAGTTAAATAATTTGTAAAATATTTTTGCTTAATTTTATAAACTTGTTAGGCATTATTTAATGATAATGATCGATAAAATAGTTTTGAAATGAAAATAGGAAAAGTGAATAATGTGATATACTGTTCTATACTGTTCTATAATATAATAATTATATTTTATATAAATAGTTGCTATTTAAAATAATTGGACAGACAACCTGGGTATTTTTTTAAAAAAAAAATTTTCTGGCACGTGTATTTTTGGAAAAATATTAGGCCTACTGGCAGATTTCTGTTATATATATATGTTGTTAAGTGGCTTGGTTTGAGTCAATTTTTATTTTAACCATAGAAATATTGTTTAAGCCAAGAGATTTCGGTAATAGAGGTTTTCTCAACATTTGTGCCATCTATAAGCAAAATCTTCAGGCTTGCGTAATATTTTTCTATATAAAATATTTAGTTGGCTCAAATAGAGCCGTTTGACAAGACTATAAATTCAAAAGTAAAGGATGGCACTTTTACCGGAAGGGGAGAGTATGACGCAAGTCATTAAAATTGAGGGGGGAGGTGTTGAAGAGATTATGGGCATTAGAATAAAGGGGAGGTGGAAGGGGTAAATTTTCTAATTAGGATCTCCCTTTTTTGCTACTTTATTTGTTAATTTTAATTTCTAAGTAAGGAGGGGAGTAGGAGAGTAATATCGTCACTGGCTTAGAAGATGTAGAAGTGTGTGCCTAAATATATGCGGTATTTATATATAAGAATTATAAAATATATATATAATTGCCAAACTGTAGTTATTGTTGCATAAGTATAAAAAATGTAATAAATGTTTTAATATATAGGTTTTCAGCGCATCTTGAGATACTAAATATCTGGTGCGATTTCTTGTTTTATTATCTAAGTTTAATTAAAAAATTTATTTGCGAATTGATTTTAAAATGGTCAAATTTTTATAGTTGATTTCTCAAAATAAATTATTTCAAAAAATAGGTTTAGACACTATCGTTTATACTATTTTATTTTGTATTATATGGATAAAAGTAGTTATCATTATGGGCTATTTTAAATACTAATTTGTTTGATATTTAAACTATTGAGCGTAATTTTTATTAAACTGTAAAATGGTAACGATATGGAAGTCAAATATTAAAAATTTCTCCGCCCCATAATAAATTTCGCTTTAAGGTAAAGACATAATCTCTATAATTGTTAAAAACATTCATGAGAAATAAGTAACCGGTAGTAGCGATAGCGTCGAAGCCTATGAAAGCGTAAAAGCATGTGGCGGCTCCAGTTAAAACACCCGAGAATCCAAATGGAAAAAAACCACCAACTCCCAGGTTTTGATTATCTGCTATAGTTCCAGTGGTATTCAGAGAGTCTAAGAGCTGATAATTAAGTAAGTTAAAATAATCATATTTATATTACTGCCCCTTACAGAAAGAATCATTCTCACAAGATTTTAAAAGATCCATAAACATTAATTATTTTATAAAAGATTAATTATTTAATAAAAATTGCAGATAAAGAATAAATGGAGTCATAATTATATATGAGTAAAAATCACCTTAAATGGGATAGTCATAATTAAATGAGTAAAAATCACCATAAAAAGTATATTATTTATAATATAAACAATGCACTAATATTAAATAATGTATAGTTAACCTTAGTGTCGATCTTCCAATAAGAAATGTTGCCTCTGATGACACCAGTGACGATAACGAACAAGACTACCAAAATATTGAGCATAGTAAAGATATTATTAAAGCGTGAGGAACTCTTTACACCAATAATCAATATCACTTGAATTTTTTTTAAATATAAATTTATTACTTTAAAATTTCAAAACTTGAATAAAACATTAATTTTTTAATTGCTTTTAAGATGACAAAACTCATGATTCTTTTAATTAAAATCAATTTTTTAGATATTACTAAAAACTAGATGCTACTATGATTAAATATTTATATTGATTTTTATTTACCATTTATATTTGAACCAATATCATAAAAATATCAATATTTTCGATTTAAAAAAAACTAAATTACTTTAACGAATGCGTAAGTGTATTTTGTTATTTTTATTCTCTAAAAGTTAATCCTATTTAAAATATGCATGTTTATGGGTGAATGTAGTGTTGTTAAACAGCTCCATTTAGCCGATAATAAAAGGGTTTAGCCAAAATCTTATTACTTAAGCCTCAGAATTTCGCAAATAAAAGCACAAACCTTCCTGCCATCTGTGAGCAAAATCAATAAGCTTGAGTGACTCACTTTTGGCTAAAACCTTGAGTTAACCATTTTTAAATATTGGTTAAATCGAGCAGTTTAAAATACTAACTGATGTGACTCGTTAGATATTTTAAAATCCTTTTTTAGTTGAGATAATTTAATAAAAAATAGTGTAAAATTTTAGACTATTTTTAAAAGCATTACAACAAATAAATTATATTTTAGTTCCTTTCAATTTTATTATTATGAAATTATTTATAAAATAAAAAAAATTATATAATTATACACACTATTATAAAATAAGTAGGGATGTGCCCATATTTCATCTTTTCAAAGTTACTGGCCAATAATATAAATTTCCCGATCCTGTGGCGTCTTAATTTTAAATTTAAAAAATAAGATGTTAAAAATTTAAAAAAAAACATTTTATTTTTGTAAATAAAATAGATATCTATATTTGTTTATTTTTTTAATAATGGATAATAAATAATTAATTAACATTCTACTAGTTATTTTTTGAGCATTCTGTTTTATAAGTGTGAGATAGATAATTTATTTTAAAATAATTCTTTGTTTTATTTTTTACATTAGATAAAATTTTCGTGGTATTCATTAACAAAATATGTGTCAATGGCTTCAGACTCTCTTATATGGATTTTTTTTTAAATTGGATTCGCCAAGCTTTAATTTTGCATAATGTAAAGTTTTATATGGATTTTTTTTAAATTGGATTCGCCAAGTTTTAATTTTGCATAATGTAAAGTTAACTCTATCAAATTTCTAGAGGTGAGTAATCTCAAGACATAAAACACCACTAATTGATAATAAAAATAATGATAATCTATCACAATTTATTAATATATATATGTTTCGGTGGAAGTTAATTGCATTAAAAAAACATTTGAATATAATTTCAATAGGAAAATAATTTTTTTTAGATTGATAAAAACAAATTCACCTTTATTTTGCAATATATATTTATAGTCAATTTATAATAAATATGGAACACAAATCATGCATGAGTACAAAAATAAAATTAATTTATAATTATTTTATTAAAATTATGATTGTAATCGAAAATTTGTGAATTCTTCATCTAAAAAGTAGCATTGGCTTTGCTTAGGTGGCCATTGAACTTCTCGACTTCTGTGCATCTTCATTCACGTTTTTGTTTTTGTCATTAATTTTGTTGTATCGTTTGCGATTCAAGTTCCTTTTTAGCGCCAACGTTCTAATTGGGAGCAAAATAATCTAAACCTATATTATGCACAGGAAGTTAATTCAGGGTGTTTCGGTCATTAAAAGTATAAAGCTGAGATGATTGCACTTTATTATGTTTAGGAACAACCTCTCATGTAGGTAGTAGCCCTCGTTAGGATCCTGGGCCCTAGCAGGTGCCTAAGCTCTTTAAAAAAAGCCAGGCATGAGAGCTGCGTGGCGATTAATAGTAGGAATGTATAACTAGATGGTAGCAATGGCAAATATTTAGCGAGTTTATTTGCCTCACCATTAAAGAATTCCTATTTATATTGGAAGGGGTAAGAGGATCGATCCATAAGAAATCCCAGGTTAGGAATTTCACTCCCTTCCAAGAGATCATGATAGAACCATCAGGCTGTTTACCATCGGAAAAAGGCCATTAGACCAAGGGTTGGGATGCCAGCAGATTTCAAGGCCCTGGCAATAGTATCATTGCATTCTGAATGTCTAATGAATCTGCCTCTAAAACTGCAGTGACAGAGAATACAGTGGGTATCACCATATCGTAATTGAGTCTAAGACCAATGGCGTGACGTAGCACATCGTTGCTTAGGAGCTGATCAAGATTTCGCGACGGGAAAGCCTTGAGAAATTGGTAGTCGCTACCTGTGGAAATGAAGAAGAGTGGGTAATGGTCTTCGGGGCAACGCAGTTGCCAACTAAAGGCCTATCCCAGTCCTTCTATAATGCCAATGAGGGAGGATCGACTAAAGATAGATTTCCAGAGATCAATTTCCTGCAGAAGCAAGGGGTCAGGTTGCAAGACTTAACGTTGCAACTTTTAAGGATTCATATACTAGGCAAAATATTGCTGATATTAACAAAATGACGACCTTGGAGTATTAGTAAAATCCATGCCATTGCACGTGACAATGAACCAAATATAAAATCTGGTTGCAATCTAAGTAATTAAATTTTATATATGTATACAAACCTTATTTAGGTAATCATTCAAATGTTTCTTTCATTTTTGCCCACTCCCTATAATTAGTAGTAAAAGAAGGAGTTTTTACATAACGAGCTATTATTGATAAGTTATCTCGAGCGAGAAAAATTACTGGTCATTTTAATCATTCATCTATTGCTAACAATGTACTCAAAATTTAAAAGCAATTACACCCATCCATAAACTTATTCAAGATTTGACACAAGGTGGGATTCAACTTTATATGCTAAAAAGATTCTTGGAGCAAAAAAGATCTTGCTTTTATTTATTGCAGCAATTTTACCCTCGATATCTTACCAACAAATGAATGGTTCTTAGCAACAAAAGTAAATCTGGCTCTATTAATTCAATGCAACCTTTAGCATAGTTATTCCATTCATATAATTACTTAAAAAAGAGGTTGCTAGTCATGTTTAGTTGGATAAAGATATCCAAACTATGAAGGATGCTATGCAAAAAGATCTTAACAAACGTTTTTTCTAAATTTATAATGAAAAAAATATACTTCATAGCAACAGTTTTGGATCCCGATTTAAAACAATTTTTTTCAATTCGATCAAATCTTAAAGACAAAAGTATTTCAGAATGGTTTATCAGTAACCATTGTGAGAAAATTAATTCATCTAGCCTATAAATGAAACAATTTTTCCCAAAAATTGTTAATTTATATCAGTTTTTATAACGCTTTTTGAAATAAATTAAAAAAATACATAAAATGTTTCGGTTAAAATTGTCTGAATTTTATAGAGTAGGTGGTCTAGACATGCTGTAATACATTTCCGATAAAAACATATTTTTTAAATTAAAAAACGCACTCAGTATATTATATAAATTTGAGATTCTGAATCCCCATGGATTCCATATCCCAAATATATAACTGTATAATATTTATTATTTTATATTAATAAAAGGAGCCAAATTTAATTTACTCGTAATGTTTTAAAAAATGTAATATTTTATTTAATCACATTCATAGATTCTGAATCCCCATGGATTCCATATCCCAAATATATAACTGTATAATATTTATTATTTTATATTAATAAAAGGAGCCAAAATTTAATTTACTCGTAATGTTTTAAAAAATGTAATATTTTATTTAATCACATTCATCTAGTGTTGATAAACGGTTTAATTTCGTCGATTTATAAAATAGGCCAACTCAAGATTTTAGTCAAAAGAAAACTACCAAAATTTAAAGATTTTGCCCACATATTACAGAAAGTTTAGGATCTATTGGCAAAATTTCGACTTATGTAATTATATTTCGGCTAAGTTATTAATTTAACTGTTTTTAAAAATAGGACAAATTGAGCATTTTGGCAGCCTTATATTCATTTTAAAACATTGCCCATATTTTTTTTAAATGAAATGATTGACTTTTGAAGAATTAAAAACATTATACACTTAATCATTCGTGAAAGTTGGTTGGTTTTTTTATTTTAAAATATTGATATTTTCATAGAAGATAAATGGTAGAAACTAATATACTTGTTTTCCATTCAAAAAAGGAAAAGACCCAAAGGCTTAGGAAAAATTCCGATCAAAAAAGGAAAAGTGTCAATCATAAAAGGAAAAATTTCAAAGGCTAAGGAAAAAGTTCGAGCAAAAAAAGAAAAGGTCCGAACAAGAGGAAAAGTGTCAATTAAATAATTTCAACAATTCGTTGCCAGAGGATTATACTATTCTATGTCAACTTTCTGAAAAAAATGATTTATTTCACAAAATAGATTTCAGGGGATTCCCAGGATTGAATTGTACTATAAGCTTTTTAGTGTTTTATTAAGGATTATAATATTACATATCCATCCAACTAATAGGATTGATAAAACTAAACTAACCATAATGTTCATTTCATCACTAATGAAATTAGCTTAATATTAGGGGTGTACCGATATGGCTATTTGGAGGCCGATCCGATATTTCCATTATTAAATTGATATCGGCCGATTACCGATCCGATATCATATCTAATTTTGTATTCTGTAAAGATATCAATGGTTTTAATTTTTAATATACTTTATATTAGTATAACATCTATAATTTAACTCTACCATAACTTATGTCATTTAAATATATTATAATGATCAGTTATAGTTTATATTCAATTCAATTGCAATTCTAAAAGTATATAAAATATTTTTATTGTTAAATCACTTTTATATAATAAGTAATACATTAATCTATATACATAATAAGTAATAAACAAATTTATATGAAATTTAAAATAAATATTTATAATAATATTTAACATTTATCGAAGATTTCCTTTTAGAAATACCAAAATTTCCAATTTATCAGAGGTCAGCCTGCGGCGATGGTAACTGTCAATATCACCAGCTTCACTAAAAACTGCTGAAGAGATTATCGCACACTTTTATAAACAGAATGCGCAAAAAAATAACAATATGGCAGAATGTTTATTAATTAATTATTATTATTAAAAAAATATACATAAAATGGATTTCGATTTTTTTATAAAAATAAATGATCTTAGATTAACATTTTTAAAAATTTTACATTTTATTTTTGTTAAAGAGGCCAATTTATATCGGATCAGAAAATTTTATAATATAAGCCGATAACTGATATTTTAAAATGGGTGAAATATCGCGATCCGATAAAAAGTATCAGTATATCCCTACTTAATAAATTTAGGAATATAAAAAAGGATAAATAGACTCAAGTCAATGCTCCAGGATTTATTAGAATTATGTTTTATCTTTAATAAAAAAAAATTAAAAAATTTTTTACATTTTAAATTCTTCAAACATTATGCTACATTTATGTCATATAATTATAATAATTAACATTTGAAATTATCAGTTAAAATTTCTTTTTGGAGACATATTTAAGAAAAAATGCTAATTTTACATGGATATAGGATAATAAAACATGAATTTTGAATTTGAAATATTATTTTAATACATTTTTATTATCTCCAGGACATAAGCATTTACGAATTTTTTGCAATTTAAATAGATTAGTGCTGTAAAGTGTTACTAACGGCGTCACCTTTTCAAAAAAAACGCCATTATAACCTTCTTCTAGAGGTAACGAGTTTTTTTTCTAAGTAACGATAAGGCAAAATACTTCAAATTTTTCTTAAAAAATATGGAAAAAACATATTTTCTTGTATTATAATATTGCTTTTATTTATTTTTTCAATTTTATAAATAATTTAAGCCTAGTTTTTAATTTATATCAACCAGATTCCTTGATTTTTATTTAAATTTTCAGTCAAGATTGTTATTCTAATTAATATTGAATCAATAAATATAGGTAAATTTATATTCTTATTTATATTATAATTTATTTTATAAAGAATATTATGTCTATTGTACATTTTCTTCAAATGAAGATGAGTTAAGCCTGCCTTGGTTCCAATATGAAACATTTTTTACACCAATAAAGAATAAGGATACAAATGTTACACTTTGTAAGAGTAAATTATGTCCCAACAAAAATTGTATCCTCAATTTTGGAATAAACTTGGCATCCTCCAAACTGTGAAGCCATTTTTAAGGAAAAACTGGGATAACTGATTAAACTGTTTATAACAAGATGGAACTCTTTCTATAACTCTGTGAAATTAATAATTCTACTTAAAGAGAATGGCTATAAATTTAACGAATCTTGTGATAAATCCAAATTAAAGATTTTCAGATAGTGACAAGTCGTTCATTGATGAATATTGTATGACTATATATATGATTTTATAGGTTGTGGAACCTGTTACTATAGCTCTTTCAATTTTAAAGAAAGAAAAAATGCATTTGGGAAATGTCACTTCCAAGATAACTAATGTAATATTTAAAAAATGGCTTTGAATAATTTCATTTTGTAAGCCACTTATGCAATCCTGCAAGACAAATATAAAAAGTATATATTTTGATAATATTTTATTTCAATTAATATATTACCAGCAATAATTCACCCGCTATTTAAATCAGATTGGCCAGCGGCAGAAGGAAGCTAGAGCTTATTTCCTGTTTAAGAAAAGATTTTGACAAAATAAAGGCAAATTTCATTCTTAAAAAAACATACATACAGATTATTTTCTAATAAAGATTTTAAAAAATTGGGTGAGGATCTAATGAAGATTCTTTTGACGATGAACTAAGCTTTTTTCAAAATAAAGGTTATTCTTTAATTTTAAATAAATTCCTCCAATAAAATATTTTATTTATCCAATGTAATACAACCCACCCATCCTCTGCGCCTCTTGAACGGTTTAGCACAGCGAAAGATGTGTTGAGTATTAAGCACTCTTGTTTATCTGATCCAAATTTTTAAAATCAATTGTTGTTAAAAATAAATAAAAAATTATTACAAAAATATCTTATCTTATAATATATTATTTATAAATTATATATAAAGATAATTATTTTAAAAAAATATCTTATTAATTATATATTATTTTTTGCATAATGTTATTTATAATATATACATGAAAAAAATATTTTTTTTTTTTATATAATATTTAATTTTTTACAGTAACGCGTTTCTTACTAAAATTTAAAAATTTTATTCTATGTCCACATCTAGAAAAATTTTGCAATTTTCTGGAAAACTATATTTGCGTTATATATGAAAATTGGTTCATATATTATTTTGTATGTGATCTTTAGAATAAAAAAAAACCAAATTTCTAACTCCTACCGTTATGAAAATATGAAGACTATTTTTTAAAAACGCTCACCTTAAAAGCTGTAAAATATGGGTGGAGAAAGGATAGTATAATCCTTAGGCGACGAATTGAAGAGAAATAATTTGATATGCAAAAAATATTAGTAAAAAAATTTCGATTGACAAAGAAAAATAAAAATTAAGTGAAATAAAAAATGAGAAAAAAATTATAAAAAGTTAGAAAAATTGTAGAAAAGAAAAAGGAATCGTTAAAAATAACATAAAAATAGAGAAGTGAAGAAAAATAACAGGGAAAATAAATATTATTCTTAAAGCTAAAAAAGAATGATAATGAGAAGAAAAAAAAATTAAGAAAGAATGATAATGAGAAGAAAAAAAAATTAAGAAAGAATGATAATGAGAAGAGAAAAAAATAAGAAAGATTTTTTAGAAAAAATTAAAAATGAATCGACACTTTTCGTTTTTTGATCGGATTTTTCCTAAGCCTTTGAGATTTTTATGATTGGACCTTTTCCTTTTTTGTTTGATACTTTTCCTTTTTTGATAAGACTCTTTCCTGTGTTTGGTAATTCTCCTTTTTGGATTGGATACTTTTCCTTTTTTCGGATAGGAAATCCTGTAAATATAGGATCGGTTTTATAGTAATATCAAATCGATAAAGAATTTGTGGATTGGCATTGCCTTACATATAGTAAGATATAATAAAATGAGGGATAATATAAAACTGATTTAAATCGTAATTTTTATTAAGATTTAATGTCAATTATTAAAGTATAAGAAATTTTCTGTTAAATTTATATATCATTACTGGTAGAAAAAATGGTGATCCCTAAAGCTAAAAAGTCAGGATACTCTGACAATTGAGGTATATTAAGAGGAACTAATTTGATCATTGCTTCTGATATTCTATTGTAGGCTAGTCCATCTAAAGTAGCGCTCCAAGCTCTAGCTACACTTGCAGCGCCTATTACCAAAATAAAATTATAATTTAACTATTTCTATAGTGTTAAATGTAATGAAAGAAAATACAAAACAAATATTGTTTAAAGGAATATTATTATAAATGACAATTAATATTACATTTACTACATTGTACTTTAAATAAAATTTATAAAATTTTCCATGATAGATGGATATTAATAATTACTTACCAATCATATATTCAAGTATAAGAGTCCAACCAATAATAAAAGCCCATATTTCTCCCACAGTTACGTAACTATAAACGTAAGCCGAACCCGTTTTGGGTACTCTTGAGCCGAATTCGGCATAGCATAAACCTGACAAAATAAAAATTAAAGAAATGTATTAGCTAATATATTAACCAACTACTTTTTCATGAAATTTTTAATATTCAAAAATATAACCTGCGAAAACAGATGCTATCGCCGCGATGAGAAAGGAAAATATGACAGCAGGCCCTGCTACCGTTTTGGCCACTTGACCAGCAACCACGTATATACCCGCACCTAAAGTGCTGCCTATTCCTGTTTATAAACAAAAAATATATGATGAATTCAATCTTCTATCAAAGAAAAAAAAAATTAATAAAATATTTCCTTTTTATTATAGTAAAAAATTAAAACATTCTTCAAAATTAAAAAAAAGTGAAATCATAGATAAATTATAATGACTAATCTAGTTTATAAATCAGTTTTTTTCCTATCAAAGATTGATCTTTTACATCATATTATTCGATACGTGTTCAATTCATTCTTTTCATAGTCTAAATAAAATGTTTAGAATTTTCGAGTATGGAGTGTTGAGGTTTTCCCACTATATTTATTGTTTTATTATGCCTATGAATTAATACTGTTAATGGATAATGATCTTATTTTGATTTTAATTACATCTATATATATATATATATACAATTTTAAAATAAGATAATTTTTTGAAATGATTTTTAGATAAATAATTTCGAATACATTTGATCAAATGAAAAGTTGGTTAAGAATAGGGCTGTGCCGATATTAAATATCGGATCGGTCCCGATATTTGGCGTTTTTCAAAAATATCGGATCGGCCCGATACCTGTAAAAAACCCGATCCGATCCGATCCTTTTACTAAAAATGCAATTCTTATAAAACTTTTGAGTAATGAAACTTTGAATTATTATTTTTTAATAAAAAAAATTTTTTTTAAATATTTAAAAAAAAAATAAATTTTTCCGAGTTTCTATTTTACATTAATAATATTTTATAAATATTTTTTTTTAAACAATGCAAATGTTGGTTAGGGTACCTTTTCAGGGGCAATTATTTTTGTTATTTTTTTATGTTATTTTTTAATGTTATTTTTTATTTTTTTTATGCGATTTTTTGTTATTTTTTTATGCGATTTTTTTTTATGTAATTTTTTTATGAAAGCTATTGTTTTTATGTTATTTTTTTATTTAAGATATTTTAAAATAATTTTTTCTAAAATTTAAAATTCGTACAATTATTTAAAGGAAGTGATGGGGGCAAATAAGGGGGAAAGATTTTTGGTAAACGAAACTTTCCATTTTTAATTTTTTTTTTGGTATAAATCTTTTTTTGGTTCCCTTTTTTTTAGTTCCAATATATATTATATAATTCCTTCCATTTTTTTTTAAATGAATATTTTTGAAGTTGGTGTTTATACTCAAAATGATGAGAAAGCTTATGATTTTTGTCTAAATAATCAATTTATACCGCCTGGAATACAACATACCTGTTGCAATTCCGTAATGCGGGTTGAAAAAAACAATAAGAGTTTACGATATCGATGCAGTAGGTGTCGTAGATCGTATTCAATATGGAAAGGTAATATTAATATATATATCATAAATGACGAATTTTTAGATTCCATTTTTGAAGGAATTCATGATGTTGGGAGATTTTTAAGACTAGTGTACTTGTACATAAGTACCAATTCTTTAAAAAATATTAAACAAAATTATTTTTAGGCCGTTATAAAATTTTAACTGCTTCGAAAGAGTTAGATTATGATAAGAAGGCAATTTCAAGATGGTAATCTAAAGTATAATATGGTTTTTTACTTCACTTATATAGGTTTAAAAAATTTCGAAAGGTATGTGGATTCCATATAGCCTCGAATCATTCAAAGATCGGGGGGCCTGGCCACGTTATTGAAATTGATGAAACTCATGTATGGAAGCGTAAATATAACCGTGGTCGGCATTTGACTTCCGAGGCTATATGGATTATTGGTGGTATATGTCGGGAAACAAATGAGATATTTTTAAGTGCCACCACAACAAGAGATCAAGATACCACCTATCGTGTGGTTAAAGATAATGTTATGCAAGATTCCACGATAATGACTGACTCGTGGTTAGGGTATGTGAATTTATTTTTTCAATAAAGCAAAAGTGGTGATAAATGTAAATATATTTATCTTAGATATAATCGGCTAGAAAGTTCAAACTATTTCCACTATCGGATCAACCATTCGCAAAATTTTGTTGATCCAAATGACAGATCGATCCACACTCAAAAAGTCGAGAGGCTGTGGCGGGATCTAAAGGCAAATTATAAAAGACATGGGGATCGGGATAATATTCATGAATATCTTCTTGAATATAGATATTTTCGAAAATATAGATTATTAAATCGTTTTGATGTTTTTATTCATTTTATTAATGATTGTATAAATTTTAATAGTATATTTCAATTTAATGAATAAATTATTTCGATTGTTATGCTTAAATTTTATTTATTTTTGGAATCTTCCTTTAATTATTGTGTTATCACTAAAAAAAATTAAATTCTTTATACAAATTTTAGAAAAAATTATTCATATTAAGTTTGTATAGAAGGAATCGGTTAGGTACCTTTTCAGGGGCAATTATTTTTGTTATTTTTTAATGTTATTTTTTGTTATTTTTTTATGCGATTTTTTGTTATTTTTTTATGCGATTTTTTTTATGTAATTTTTTTATGAAAACTATTGTTTTTATGTTATTTTTTTATGATTGGTTCATTTTCTTATTGGTTAATTTTTTATTTAAGGTATTTTTAAATTAATATATCTTTTTTTATTTAAGATATTTTAAAATAATTTTTTCTAAAATTTAAAATTCGTACAATTATTTAAAGAAAGTGATGGGGGCAAATAAGGGGGAAGGCTAGGGGTAAGGGGTAAAATTATTAGATTATGTACAATGCGGGTAGGTTTGAGGTTAAATTTTTGATAGATGAAACTTCGCTATTTAAAATTTATTTGGTTGATTCTTTCTATACAAACTTAATATGATTCCTTCTATACAAACTTAATATGATTCCCTCTATACAAACTTAATATGATTCCTTTTATACAAACTTAATATGATTCCTTCTATATAAACTTAATATGATTCCTTCTATACAAACTTAATATGATTCCTTCTATACAAACTTAATATGAATAATTTTTTCTAAAATTTGTATAAAGAATTTAATTTTTTTAGTGATAACACTATAATTAAAGGAAGATTCCAAAAATAAATAAAATTTAAGCATAACAATCGAAATAATTTATTCATTAAATTGGAATATACTATTAAAATTTATACAATCATTAATAAAATGAATAAAAACATCAAAACGATTTAATAATCTATATTTTCGAAAATATCTATATTCAAGAAGATATTCATGAATATTATCCCGATCCCCATGTCTTTTATAATTTGCCTTTAGATCCCGCCACAGCCTCTCGACTTTTTGAGTGTGGATCGATCTGTCATTTGGATCAACAAAATTTTGCGAATGGTTGATCCGATAGTGGAAATAGTTTGAACTTTCTAGCCGATTATATCTAAGATAAATATATTTACATTTATCACCACTTTTGCTTTATTGAAAAAATAAATTCACATACCCTAACCACGAGTCAGTCATTATCGTGGAATCTTGCATAACATTATTTTTAACCACACGATAGGTGGTATCTTGATCTCTTGTTGTGGTGGCACTTAAAAATATCTCATTTGTTTCCCGACATATACCACCAATAATCCATATAGCCTCGGAAGTCAAATGCCGACCACGGTTATATTTACGCTTCCATACATGAGTTTCATCAATTTCAATAACGTGGCCAGGCCCCCCGATCTTTGAATGATTCGAGGCTATATGGAATCCACATACCTTTCGAAATTTTTTAAACCTATATAAGTGAAGTAAAAAACCATATTATACTTTAGATTACCATCTTGAAATTGCCTTCTTATCATAATCTAACTCTTTCGAAGCAGTTAAAATTTTATAACGGCCTAAAAATAATTTTGTTTAATATTTTTTAAAGAATTGGTACTTATGTACAAGTACACTAGTCTTAAAAATCTCCCAACATCATGAATTCCTTCAAAAATGGAATCTAAAAATTCGTCATTTATGATATATATATATTAATATTACCATTCCATATTGAATACGATCTACGACACCTACTGCATCGATATCGTAAACTCTTATTGTTTTTTTCAACCCGCATTACGGAATTGCAACAGGTATGTTGTATTCCAGGCGGTATAAATTGATTATTTAGACAAAAATCATAAGCTTTCTCATCATTTTGAGTATAAACACCAACTTCAAAATTATTCATTTTAAAAAAAATGGAAGGAATTATATAATATATATTGGAACTAAAAAAAAGGGAACCAAAAAAAGATTTATACCAAAAAAAAAATTAAAAATGGAAAGTTTCGTCTACCAAAAATCTTACCCCTAGCCTTCCCCCTTATTTGCCCCCATCACTTCCTTTAAATAATTGTACGAATTTTAAATTTTAGAAAAAATTATTTTAAAATATCTTAAATAAAAAATTAACCAATAAGAAAATGAACCAATCATAAAAAAATAACATAAAAACAATAGCTTTCATAAAAAAATTATATAAAAAAAAAATCGCATAAAAAAATAACAAAAAATCGCATAAAAAAATAACAAAAAATCGCATAAAAAAATAACAAAAAATCGCATAAAAAAATAACAAAAAATCGCATAAAAAAATAACAAAAAATAACATAAAAAAATAACAAAAATAATTGTCCCTGAAAAGGTACCCTAACCCAAATGTTATTTATTTTTTTAAATAGATTCTAAAAGTTTTTTTATAAAAATAGAAAGGAACACCCAAAGTTTTATTTATTTTTAATTTTTTAAAAAAATAACACCAATTTTATTATTTATACTTTAAATAAAAATTATTTTAAATATGGTTTCTGAATTATGGAAATATTTTGATAAAGATGAAGGTAATTTTGCAAAATGCGTCATCTGCGGAATTCTAATTTCACGGGGAGGAATACTGAAAAATTCGTTCAATACAACTAACATTAGGAAACATCTGAAGCGTTGCCATCAAAAGGAACTCGAAGAGCTAACACAAAAAGAACGAGAAATATTAGAAAAAACAAATCAAATTTTAAAAAAAAGAGCCCTGAAAGTCAGCCAACAATATCAGCCATTCTTAATAAAACTAATATTTGGAAACATTCTGATCCTAAATCAATAA